TATTTGCCTTCCCCTCCTCCCTCACACACACACACACACACACACACACACACACACACACCCAGAAGTGATGATTCAGGAAACAAGGATAAATTGTAAAGCCGGACGATTTCGTTAATGGACAAACTAAGGTCATAAAACCAACCGTCACCTAATACTTTTACCGGTTACCTTTGATGTACATCAATGGTAACCAACTGTCAATTTATCTTGTTGACAAATGCATTTTCCAGTAAGGCCATCACGGCACATAAAAGTAAGACTTTAGGAGAAACAATCAGATAGTGTTCATTGTGAAATGTTCTAGATTCTAGAACGCTCACTCCACCCCCCCCCCCAACCCCTCAGCGTTCATCTCCTAATGCGTTTGCTTGGAGACTTAATAACTAAACACCCCTTATTGATATGGTACAATGTGAGATGCAACAGTGTTAAAACTCATCAGTGCTAAAATGCGAACCATTCCAGGATTGGGTTACAAAGACTCAGATTTCGATGGCAAAGCTAAAAAGCATCACCCAGACTACCGTGTTGGACTTCTGGGAATGCTGGAACGTTCGGGGAATACTGCACGAGAACTGAAATTAAACGTGTTATTTGAGGTTTCGGCCTGTTCTTCAAAACCAGAACACCTGTTGTCTGCATATAAGATTGCAAGCAAGCAGATTGCATTTCTGTTTGAGCACTTTTATAACACATGGTTTGGACATTGGGTATTTTGCTGGGATTCTACGGGAGGGCATGGGTTTTAGTGTAAATAGATTAGAAGAAGTATTAAAAAACAAACCATACGGCAAAACCAAGTAATTGTATTTAGCTCAAAAGCTGCAGTTATAACATAATGGTGTTTTATGGCCACGAACGGCCATTGGATTTCTGCTGGCACTGCCGTCATGGCTAGCGCACATTTATCTAGTAAAGACAACAAAACGAATTATTTTAAGCGAGTACCTCTGGAAAGCCGACACCAATCGAAGTTTTCAGACGACATTTAGGAAGTCATTTCCATCCACAGGATATTATCAATTCACTGAACAAAAGTAAAGGATCGATCCGCTCTCGACGCTGCGAGCTAAATGTTCAATTTTTTATATTCATTTTTACTTTTCTGTTTGAATCCAATACATGATTGTTTATTCATTGCCACAACACATACACGGTAACCCGCAAATAATGTGTAAATCATGTTCAAGAGAAAACTTTTGATTTAATATTCATAGTTAAAGATTTCTGTGTGCGGGGGCCGTGCTGAGGTGAGACATGCAGCAGAAGAGAAATGAAGTCAATGGCAAAGAACTTCAGTGCTAAATGTACGTGTCACACAAGACCAAAGACATGCTTAAGGACGCCTCCATTCTTTCAATTATACTTTGATGTCAATAAACATCATCATGCTAAAACGAAAGTCTTGTTTTCAACTACGGTCGGTTCAGCAATAGAAGCATTCTGATCATATCGTAAAGTTCTGTTCTATAAAATGCGCTAAGCTGTCTTGTTGGAAGATCAAATGTGAAGATAACGCAGTTGTCAATGGACTGTAATCCCTTTAGTTATTGTCGAAACCCCGCAGTTTTGTCGTGTCAGATTGTATATTTTCAAGAAATGCCGTTCACGGACACCTTGGCTCCGCCAGTCCTGGGTATGATTGCTGCATGCAGTGAATGCACTAAGACTCCGTTCACATGAAAAATCTATTTTCTAAAAATCTATTTTCTATTCGCGGTATCTTGTGATCACTCCGAGCGCAGCCGAGAATTAATTACAGCTTTGGAAGTAACTGGCTCGCGCTGCCAGTAATTACGCCACGGGGTATTCGGGGCACAGACCGTGATCACAAGATACCGCGAATAGAAAATAGATTTTTAGAAAATAGATTTTTCATGTGAACGAAGCCTAATTGCTGGTTTTTAAACTGTTGGAAGCAGGGCGGTGGTATGTGTCTGTAAAAGTACATGTTCTTCTTTCCGTCCAGGTGAACCTCATTCCTGTCATATTTCGATAGTTCGCAAACTTTCAACACAAACGTTCGGGATGAGAACATGTACATGTATAAATACCAAATTGACAGGTTAAGGTAAAACTCACCTCTCAAGGTTAACATTTCAGTTTTCATCTTTGCAAGAACGAGATATTCTTCATTATTTTCACAGAGAGATATTTGTTCGAGTTCACTCCAAGTATTAAACATGAGTGATTGTGATAGAAATATCAATTTCAATATTTAATGCATGTTGCCATCTTTTGCATTTATTTCCGAATAGACCCTTGTATCGGAGATATACAGAGTTCTCACCGTGATTCGTGTTCTAATGGCCTAACCTTCAAATCCCAAATCAATATTAACTTCAGATTTTTGTAAGTTGTAACGCCTAGAGAACTAACAGAATGACATAAAACGGATGGTTTTCCATTCGAAGCACAACTTAATAGGCAATCTTGCCATTTGAAATTGATGCCAATGCGCAAATCGGGGATATCTCTATTGGTGGACCATTGCCTGTTTAATTGGCCAGGATACCGCTGATGGTTGACCGATAGCGCGGCAGAAAAATAACAACTTAAGTGAAATCGTTGTTAACTTGACTGGATTTGGAACTAACAAATGGGAAATTATTCCCTATTGAATCAAGTCGCGTAATTAAATACATTCATTATAAACTGATGATAATGACACCCGTAGAAAGCTTTGACACCTTCGGTAAAAGTTCAGTTTTAATGCAAGGTGGCATTAACATAGCGTTATCGAGGCAGCGTTCCGTGGTTAATGTTTCCGGCCTTAGACGTCGTTTCTATATTGCTCAGGGAGAGATGTTTCATATTATGTTGGTATATAAACATAAATAGGTTATTCTCAGATGAAAAAAAAGGCAATTTGAATTTAATCATCAAATAATTGATTAACGTGGACATGGGGGACTTTTGCATTAATCAAATTCCAGTTAAACATCTGTTTCGATCGAGTGGGGCGGACTTTTGGGAAATTGCAGTACTCTTTTGTATCAACTACAAAACATAAAGAACTCGATTTTAAAGAAAGTGAGGTTTTTAAGTGCACTGTGTATTACCAAATGTAAAATGTTCCAATTTAATTACATGGTAAATAATTCAAGTGCCGCCCGCCTCTGTATTACGCTACACGTGATGTGGCAGCTTGTACGAGCATGACCTTGTAACTTAATGCTCTGCTCTCAGACAAAAGAAACTGTTTGCTAGGTAAAGTACGGCAATTATTTTTAAAATTTTCTATTTATTATTTCCCATTCATTTTTGTCGATCGTAGGTTCGTTCTCAAATCCGTAAACTGTATTCAGAGCACGAAAAACCATCCATCTGCTACAGTTTTTTGAAAATAAAATACAACCAGGGAGTGGCAAAACTGTATGACGCAGAAGAAAATATTACGAGTAACTTATCATTCTTTTTATTAACTGCTAGAGACCTAACGATTTATCACAGTAAATACATGCATGTTGAATTTTGTTTGAAAACGGAGACGCTGCTTCTATAGTTTGTAGATAGCCTGTATCGTTTACCTTGTCTTTGATCAGTACTTTTAATATGAATTTCTATTCATGATGTTTATAATTATCATTTCTGGGATGCATATTCTTATGATGAACGCCTATGATTCGACCTTTCTTCGACCATACTTTGGCTTACATTGCGAACATACTGTAAATGGAAGCACGAATGAAAGACGATTCTAAATGATAATTGCTATAACTAAGGAGGACTCACAAAAAGGCACAAAAGCGCCATGCAAAGGCGAGTCGTATATAAACTTAATAATTTACAATGCTAACACTTGTTATCGGATACGTTTTCGAGCAAGAGAGAACAAATGAGTTTGGCATTAACTTTGAGCCCAGTTTATAAGTCATTTACGCCCAAACAATATCAGTAGTGGTTCATTTCTCTAAGAAATAGGGTCGGCTTTACAAAGAACAAATACATGTAAATGTCTAATATTTCAGAACGATTATTACCGTATTCTTATTATCTATATCTCTGTTTACCGTGTGTCTAAATGGACGACTCTTATTATCGGTGCTTAAGTGAAAGCTCTTTATTAAGATTTCCGCGTGAAACGTGGCCTGTTGATAATTCACTCGACAGATGAATCAAAAGCATGACTATACATTTTAATAAGTTAACACAGCGGTTAATAGAGAACGCAAACGAGTCAATTTATGACACCAATTCCTCATTTAACTTTTTCGTCTTGTCTTTGTCGATAGCCTATTCTATTCTTGAAGTTATTGAATTCATCAAAAGTTAACGAACATGTTCAAAAACGTTTGGACTTGTGCAAGAGCTCCAATTTTAACCTTCTTCATATTTCATCAATTTCAATACAATGCAGACATTCATACCAAAATGGATTTAAGCACACATGTAAGAACCGTGTAAAACCATTCGGATGTAATTGTTTTATAAAAATATTGTTCTTGCCATATACTTTAATTTTCATTCTGCAGTACCAATCTACGATTTTTTTTCTTAAATTTGTGTAATTTAGAAAAATAACAATTTTTGCAGATTTACAGTTTATTCCACGCGATGTTCTCATTATGTGAAAAGATTCATCCAGCCCGCATTAGGCGAGAAACATTCTATACTGCTCGTGATGTGTGAGCTTAAAAATAGGTACATGTATATTGCATGTTTACAAGGCCAATCTAATGATTAGAACATTCTCTTCACCTTAAAAACCTTATAGCCCAAAACACGGTGCCCGACTATAAAAAAAAAACGCAACGGCACTTAGCGATCATTTTAAGATTCTTAAAAGAACTCTCCATGCCATGATAAAAGGTCTTATTATTTTCTACATAGCAAATAAGACAAAAGAAAGAAATATCCATATGTTATATTAATGTCCATATTTAACGGCGACGTTTAATTAAAGTATGCTCTAGTGGACTAATGTACTTTACTGATACAGTGAACTCGATGCGAAGAACGTTTACTTCAGTAAATATAACATAAGGAAAACTTACCAGAAACCAACAGCACGGTAACGACGGTCACCAACGTCGCTGAATGTCTCATTTTCACGAAGAAAGGTATGTCTGACTGTGATTAAGTCCAGTTTAATTCCAGCTTGGTGTACATGCGTGTTAAGACGCTCAATAATTGGTATTAGGACAGTTTGTCTGATCGCCTCCGTGGTTTAAGTGGCTCTGTGCACTGATTGGATGGCGGCAGCTCCACTCAGTGACGACACCAAGGCGCAGCAAATTAGTTGTTGGATTCAAGACGCCAGTTTTTCAACAGCGGGCTCTGAAGAAGAATCGCACAGCTGGTTAACCTTATGGCCCGTTCAGCTTTCACGTCTTAGATAAATACAATAATGTTTTCAATTGATGGGAAGGTTCCTAATGACAAACAGTTGCTTTGACTGTCATTGACTCGGCAGAAAATGAGACTATTTGAAAGTGCGCTGTTTGTTGATGCAGGTAGTAATGTACACACAATGGACATAGATTCTTCATGTAAAAATATAGCATTGTCAAAAGCGCATCAAAGACCCAAGGACCCAAGGAATATCGACGCACATAGCCATGCATTGACGCATTATTTACAGATACAAAGACATACAGATCTGCCTCAGTAGAAGACGTATGCCTGGGCTATCATTTCGTCATGCATTTTACTTTGTTCCCTTGGTCTGAAAAAAAAAGTACAACTCAAATATTGTTGTATTATCATATAATTTAACACTAACGTATGATTTAACACACGTTTCGAATAAATTCACGCCTTCATATACATTCAGCCCAGCACTCTTTTCATTTCCATCTAGGTAGTTTAGCAGGTGGGGTAATGAACTTTTACAATCCAAGTAATTAAGTTTAATATGAATTAGTGTATGTGATGTATGATATGCCCTCACACTGCACCCACTACATTTGGATTAAATAAAACTAATCAAATTAATAAAGACCAAAAACATAATCTTGTAAACAGTGTCTCTTCCAGAACTTTTTATAAAGCATGCGTCTTCTGTTTGTATCCCTTGTTTCACCTTGAGCAGTCTCTCTGCGACTTTTACGCGTATGTTTTAAATATGACCACGGCGTCCACGCCAACGTCAGGATATCGCCCTTGTACTACATGAGCAACCGCCATGCTCTAACACTCATTTGTCCCTCTAAGGAAACTTGGCGCATTTTATAGTCGAAAAAAGATTACCAAGTACCCGTAATGGCGGTCTTAGGGGGTATAAGCTAGACCAAACATTAAAGCACACACTGGAACTAATATGATAAAATAGATCAAATATCTCCTTCAAAAGTGAACATGATGCCACTAAAATAGGTGTTATAATTATGTAAATCAATTAACTTATTAAAGAAAAAGAATTCAAACCAAAAGACGCATGTGGCCCAAGGCTGCTCAGAAGGTTCAGAATTTGAATACATTTAAATAAAAAGCCCTATCTAAGCTTTGGTCTCAGTATCAGGTTTCTGGTCAGCTGTTCAGAAATCGATCGTGACATTGTATCCACAGATAATCTTGTAAGAACTAACGAGGATTCGAAGTACCAAGATACAGTGTACATTAACATAAAGCAATTTCTCTTTCGTGGCTTTTTTACGTGCGCTTTGATTTACTACAGTTAGAACACGGTAATAGCTGGATTTGTCACGCGTGGAATGCCTTTATGTGGGCACAAACAATAGTTACTGGAATGATTCAAACAATTACAAGAGCAGACATAATAGAGTTGTCTGTGGACACCAAAGAAAGAAATCCCTGTGACGATGTGCCCATGTCCATGTTTGATTTCCTGTTCTTCTTTCTTTATTTGTTTTAATCTTTTCATTTAATTTAATCATTTACAGGTTTGCCAGTCATTTATTCCTGTCGTTATTTTATATTTTTTCTATTATGTCATTCTTCTTGATCTTAATTTATTATTATTATTATTATTATTGTTATTAATAATAATAATAATAATAATAATAATAATAATAATAATAATAATAATAATAATACTTTTAATCAAAATATCTGTGAGACAACACAAAAGTGTGGGGGCAGCTGATCTGGCTGGAGAAGGAGGCTACGGTTCAAGAGTCCATTATAACACTGCAATCACCGCTTTCCGACAGTACGCTAGAAAAGCTTAACGCCCGTGCCAAACAAAAATAATGAAAGAGATGATATTAGTATAAAGTCACCCTGTAATTTCCCTGGCAGAGTATTGATTAAGACCACGTTCAGAGAATTGTGAAACACACTGTAATTCCTCCAGCAGATTATTGATTCACTCTGACTTCGACTGTAATTTTCTGCAATTTTCCGCGGGCGCAAGTTCATGAAATAAAGGCTATAAATTTGATTCTATGTAAGCAAATTACGATGTTCATTGACCAGTATCCTGAAAACACAACTGCAGACTTTTACGTGCTGAAGAGTTTTGTTAGGGTGATCTCACTGTGGTAAAAAGTCCTAAAGCCTCAGATATTCAAAAGAATAGTTTTGAAATATAAATTGTGCCATTCATGTTTAATCTTTATCATTTATGGTTCCACCTGTCCTGTACACGAGAACAAGTCTAAGTAACGTCCAAAATGTTTTTTTCCGATATTAACATTTTCCTATGAGTTGTATATAATTCACGCATTTTACACGAACTGCTGTACATTTTACACCATTAGACCTAAAATTTAGATCTGTTTCTCTATGTGATTTGGTATAGAAAATAATCACCTGTGCACAAGCTAAACAGATGTCGTAAGGCAAGATGGTGTGTTATTTAACAGTAAGAGGTTTGTTTCTCGATGCCCTTTTATATTCGACCTCCTACAACACTGAATACGTTAACATTAGCATTAGAGCTACAAACATTGATTCCAAAATATTTGGTGGTTTTATAAACAAGTTGAGATGAGTTAGTGATTTTGCGCATTGTGAAAGCAAGTATACAAAACTATTAAACTAATATAAATCGAGGTAGGCAATACTTTGTAAACTCTTCTAGAATAATTTACTCTTTGAAAATGTTATTCATTTTCATAAAATACAACATCAATGGTGAAGGGAGGTATTTCACTTCCATTAAATTCATCTGCATTTGATGATCGTGGGGCATTAATTACGCATTTTGATGATTTGTAATTGCTATTTACGATTTCCTTCCCTCGAGAGACGACTTCTCCATTATAGGTTTCATTAGTTTAATTTTACATTATATAAGTCGTTTTATAACGCTCACCCTTTAATATCCGTATATGTATAGTGCATAAGGACGCGGTTGACTCGTTTTCTGCGTATAGCTGACCAGTCAATTGGTGTTAGGTATGTGTAGGTAAAGCAAAGCTTGATTTGCCCGCAGTGGTATTTATCTCAAACCTTAAGACACAATCGAAAGTAATATGTCTGTCAATAAGGGACAAGGGTCATGAGTCTTGGTGGCTGTACTTAATGTTGAATAGGTCAAATCATCACTATTATAAATCCAAATTGTAAAAAGCATGCCACTGACGAAACCAACAGGGACAAACTGACGCGACTGGCCATTTGACCGCCAGTTCACACCATTTTATTGTATAAACCGGGGCTGCGTCCATGAAGTGTTAATCCGGTTCGTTTCTGCTCTTTGGCCACAATTGCTGCAATCGGTGACTATCTATGCCATATCCTATCCATTTCCAGCCAGGAAACCTTTCTACCGGTCAAATGACTTGTCTCTGATAAGTGAGCGTAACACCAGATCGTTGGCTGATTGCCGCATTGATGGTTTCTTGCATGCCGTTCTGACAAATGCACCGTCCTAAAGGACAAAAATCTAAAGAGGAATGAGGGAGAAAGCGAAACACTCATTTACAAAGGATTGTGTGTACATTTATCTCAATCCCCTTCGACCCAGACGTATTTTATTTGGATGTATTGGTGTATGCCCTGCATTTTGAGCAAAAGCAACATGTAAGCAGATCTAAGACCTCATTGTATGTCGGTACTTGTATTCCGAATCGGCCAAGAGATTTTGATACTAAGACACATTCGATACGTTAGTCAATGTAATGTTCGATGGAAATGTTATTGCAAATGGCACCGGGTTCAAAAACACGACACTAAGACTGAAACAATGATCTGATAACTGTCTAAGTGACGCGCATGGTTTAGCGTCCGGGAAAAGGTTTATCGCTCGTCCTAAATATATCAGCAGACGAGGAACACACTAATTCTGTCATTAAGGAATCTGGAAGTGTTCAATTAAGTGGAGATCTAAAATTGCCCTGTGTCGGAACTCCAACTAAAAACCTAAACTGTCTTGGTACCCGTCTTTTTTGTATCCCTGCTAACAGATTCAATTTTTCGCACACTCCGATTATTTTATTTCAAATTTTAGTTTAGTGATGGAATGTATTGGTGTTGTTGCCCCCCCCCCCCTTATATTTCTACAGCCTAGACTTAAGTGATAGTCCATACGCGGCTATGCAAGAATTGAGCTCTTGGCATTACGGTTTCACTGCTGAAACGAAGTAAATTGACTCGGTGTATGTCATGGGTAACAATCAATACTGTTATATAATCTAAAACTCTTCTGGTGTCTACGGATAAGGTCCCTGCTGTTAAAAGGACTAAAGACTGACTTAATGAGATATCATGGACTAAAGAACGATTTTTCGGATTCCAAACCTTTAAATTGCACGCCATCTTTACTAATTATACACATCACAAATCCTGTATACACTGTACCAGTAAGACTTTTGATTGTACGATATGATCACTGTGGTTTTCTTACCCTCAAGGACTTAGGGCATCAAGAAAATGAGTGGAGGGGCAACACTCTGGGCCTTACTGGTAGCATTATGGACCACTGCTGTTTAAATCTGTGATACAAACCTGGTAATATGGTTGAAAATAATTAATGTTCCTGACTGGTATAAATAAGCTGGTTTGGTATATGTAAAACCCCTATAGGTTGGCTGGTATACTCTTCGTGATCTGTGTGGAATAAACCTAAGATCGGCCTAGATATATCTGCTCTCAAATGCTTCATTATCTAACTACTATTACTTGCAATTTTTGAAATATGTCCTATAAAGCAAGACATATAAAGAGCAGGGTAAGTACGATGTGAGTCAACTTGGCGTTTCATGGGCACATTTCGCTAAATAAGCCTTATACATGTAAGTATTAGATGCATTTGACAGATGTACTTTTTGGGCCATAGATTCAGAGAAAACGTAACACAGTTTGCTCCGAATTGGACTGGTATTACATTGGTGACTAGAATGATTACCGTAATGTGCAAAAAAGGGAGAGGAAACCGCACTTAGTTTGCGAAACTGTTGAAACGTTTCATGGCCTACGGTTGGTTAAATACGCGATTGTCTGACTCAGCCCACTGTACAAAAAGCCGCCATATAGCACGGAACCCTTTATCTTATTGCACAGAACTTGGTAGCTTTTGCAGTGAGTACCGGACATATGATTTATCCCCGTAGGAATCCATTCTAACTTCAGTTATCTCACGGAACTTAACTAGTGTGACAGGAATGCTAGTCCTAGAAAAGGAATTCCAAGGTCCCATTTATTTAGTACAGGCTAGCCAGGGTTAGCTGGAGTATCGGGTCGGTATATGGGTCTAATGTCATATGTACAAAATAATGGGGAGCAAACCACGGTTCCTAGCGTGCACACAAGCTTTGCGGCTAGCAAAACCTTAAGAATAGATTTCATGAAATGTTCAAATATCTACATATTTTACCAATATATTGTACTATTACCCATTTCAAATATATGATCTACACTTTTGATAAAAAAACTGCACTCATTCAAAAAGGAATTAATAAGAGAGATCGCATTTATGTGACCAGAGTCTGATTACAACACCCCAGCTCTCCGCCAAGGTTTCTCTTCTACGTACATGGAGATTCCCACACTGTGTTTCAGATTGCCTCGTTAACTTCTGTATATCGCCCTGGGATGGGACTCTATTCCCCAATCACTCAACCTCTTCACTATTAAGCGCTTGATTTCTATTTAGATAGGACGCAACTAGGAAAAAACACGCACTTGTTTATAATCGATATATTCAGGGACGTAGTGGATTAATTAAACAGTTTAAGGCGGAAGAGAGGAGTTAGTCAAAATTGCAACGAAATCAACGTCAACGCGGGTTAAGTGAGCGAGCAGATGTAATACGTCGGTGATGCAGTGTCGTAGTTGCTTGCCTGGATTACTAGTGGCAATAAAAACCGAAACTAGCTGGTTCCACCATGTTCTTCATTAAAACACTCAGCATAATGCGAGCGATGTTTGCGCGTGATATGTATGCAAATGACATGCAGCTCACCAAACAAGGTGAAATTATACTTTTGTCATCTGTAATAGTTTTCCAGCTATGAATAAAGGAGATCCCTAATCACAGATCCAGGGGAAAGTCCCCACAGCGGTTTGGTGACACGGACACTAATGCAACGTGGGAGTCAATACGGGTGATTTTTGCCCTTGGGAAGGAAATAAACTGAAATATAATCTGGGCGCTGTGCTGCATGGTTTACGTAGGTGTGATGTAACTACAGCAGCTCAGAAAATGGTTCACTCTGATTTTTACACTCTGACTGACAGACGTTCACCAATCGATAACTCAGTTTGACCCACTCTGAGCCCCAGTCCGATTGCTCTAGCTAGCTCAACAATCGCAATCAGACTCAGTTGCGGTAGAGGAATCGCATCAAAGAGCTGTCACTTATGATGGCCTTGTACAGGGCGATAAATAAGCTTGTATGTAGAGATATATGAGTAAAATAGCCTATACTATACGAGTTCGATTTTTTTTGCTTTTTCAAACAACTTGAGAGAGATTGCCACATGTGAACTCGTGCCTGCGCATAACATACACGCATCTAGACATTTTCCGAGCTCTCTTATCGCTTTGAAAAGGAACAAAGAATCGATCTGTCTTAAATCTATACCTGAGAAAAACACAGTCTATAAGCATATTTGTTTCATGGTTATCAATCACCATGCCTTATTCTAGATACGATGCTATTCAAAACACACTGATGACGCATGCGCACTTGCGCTTATGTGGACCTGTTTAACACATTCATACATAGTTGAATAAAGCATGTTACTGGCCTGACCCAGATACGGGCTGTGTGATGAAAGTACCGATAAACTTACACGATGTGTACATTTTTAGTACAAAGAAATAAATCAATTCCATTTCCGCTATCTTATTTACGTTTTGAAGTTCATGAAAAGTAAATGAAGCAGTGACATTAACGTGGCAAGTTAGACTTGACAGACTCTCGTACCGAGTGCCAACAGTGTAAAACTCAATGTAAATTACATGCTGTCCCAGGATACATGTAACCCAAGAACGTAGATGCCATTTATTTTCTGTTTCTTAGTACTTCTAAATTCTACGGGCGAAGTTGTTGATGACTTTGATGCACTCTTCTGTTGGTATAGCTGTTAGTTTTTGTGTGACTGCTGCTCTGGGGTGACGTGTGGGTTGTTCCTGTAGACTCGTTCCTTCAGATGTCCCTTAAGATAAAAAATCTGGAGGTTCAGGTCACGGCTTAGATAAAAACACAGGCACAAAATGTAATGTAGTGTTCTTTACATAACAGTTACACCGCCATTAATTTAATGTTGTTTTGAATTTACAAGTGATTCATTTATAAAGAATATGGACAGTGTCGAGGGCAAAGTCTCAAAGGAAAAATGCCACTTTGATTATCTACTCAGTGGCATGTTCTCTCTCTTTCTCTCTCCTTCATACTCGGTATGGGATACCTTGGTTTCCAATTTCATTTTTGTTTTTTGACCACCATTTATTAGAGCTATGCCATCAATCACTCCTGATCTCAGTGTTAATAAGAGTGACAATCATGTCGATTGTCTTAGGGGCATCGGTTCATTTCGCGAGGGGGTTTATATAACAGATAAATGACGAGCTGATAACAAAGAACGATTAGTTTTTCAACTCAACGCCTGCAAGTAGCTGGCTTGTGTTTGTGTGACGTGAACTTCTGTGTAGAGAAAAGCAGACAACAATCCGTAAACAAGTTATGCAATCGGAAACTTATTATCAACGGACACTTTTGTCTTGCAGAGCTTCATACTGTGTAATTCTGGGTGATCTTTATGCGGTTCCAAATTGAGTCAGGCAAACAGTTGGCGAGAAATGATGGGTAGATATCTACTATGAGCATAAGGGATAACAGAATAGAACTGGATTGTCAGTACATATATTAGCGTATCAGGAGGAAAAAAACAATATTTATTAATTAATATCACAATAATATCAAAGATTTCTCTGTGACCGGTCGATAAGCGGTGTAACAACCATTGACACCTGCGCCAACAGAATTAACGAACGCTTGATATGTCCACATTGGACTATAGGCAAAAATGGTTAATCAAAAACATTATCTATAACCCATAGGGTGCACACTTGGCACGATCACTTAAAACCAGTATAATGGGTTTAAATAGTGTATCTTTGTCTATCTGTGGTGTCGTTGTCTTATTTTTGAAGTGTCGACGTTGCTGTTTCCATATTTGGCATGTCTCATGCGTGTCGACAGTGAATTCTCAAGTTATCTCAATATTTCTGCCGATTTAAGTTCCATTAGACTGCAGTTTTGCGTGATATTCGTACACATGACGTTAATTTAAAACATCTAAAAAACCTTTCCTGTAAACACCTGCATCAACAAAAACAACTGCATTTTATCTTAACAAGGAATAGTGCATTACCAGAAATCAAATTTATTTATCAAATCACCCATTTCTTTTTTCTTTTTTTTCTTTTTTTTTTTTTTTTTGCCGATGATTGTGCCACGGTCTCAGACTGTCGTCGTACACGTAATCAGACCGCAGCGAGAAAAAAAGCTTGATAACAGTTCCAAATCAACTGTGTCGCTTGTTGTCGACATGTTTCATGTTAATCGTACGGTATGGTGAAAACCAATCGATCAAATTACAATAAGCAGAGCTGAATTATGAATAAAGAGAGAAATGTTTCTGTCTACATTATCTGTTGTGCTCAGCCTCTTTCGATCTCCGTCATAAATCTTGTTATTCTGTGTTTAAAGCATTGTAAAATCCCATAGAGCAGAAAGAACATCGTATCGTTATTTTTAAGCTAAGCAGTATTTATTAAATATGGCATAAAAATTGTCTGAATACAAAGGCCTGGAAACTGAGAGTTTAAGCCACGCCGGGAAAACCTACTCTACAACAAAAAAAGTACTCTAACATGGCTCCGGACGCTGCCATGGGTCAGTTTGATCGCTTTAAGAATCAAATGAATACATATGGAACGGATAATATACGCAGCAGAGATAAAAACGTGTGAACAATTAATCTATGATTATTTTATTAACTAGAAAAGTATGAGCAAATGCCATCCCTTAATTCTGAATGCGACAAAATTGAGAAACAAACAGGTCGGCAATGGGTCGTTTAATAATACTAGTGCTAAAGAAGGCGGTAAGTTGTACATTTCTTTAAAAAGGTGAGGATAGTACCTGAGGCAATACAATTTAAATGGTGGGAAAACTTAGCATGCACCAGGGTAAGATATGACTGTTTATGGTACATCCAGCTCGCCTCTCCTGACTACGGGTACTTCAAATACCGGCATAATTATGTTACCCAAAGCAGCACATAAATATTCCATTTCCTTTCTCATTCATTATTCTGATCATAATCAGCGTATCACTTAATCAATGTCTCTTTTCTTTTTCAATGCGTTTACCTTTATCCCTTCACATATCTAGTATTTGTTTTTATGCATTTTTGTATCTAGAAATCATTTGTTTCTGTATTCAATCACAATCAATTAACCCATCAATAGATCTATGCATTCATTCCTTAATCTATTCATTTATCTATTATGATTAATATATTTAAAAAAGCGTTTACTATAAATTAAACATGAAGGCAGTAATAGAATTACAATAACAAAATTGACATGGGGCACATAATCTTTATTGAAAAAAGAGAGAATTTATACAAAGCAGTATACTATTTCTATACCATTATTTAATTAAAAATATGCTTAAATAGACATTTTTGTTATAATTTAGGGAACGCTTAGCTAGCGTGGAATATGTGAAACAAAGCAATGTAAGCTGTACGTAAACGGTAGATATATACAGGGGTATTCTAATTTTCTTTATTTTTTAATGTCTCGGCTATATATGTTTTGATACAGCCGTATAATATTATTCCGTTTCCGTCTCTAGAAAGCACCGTGCCTGTAAATGTATTATTTAAAGAACGTGACTGCCACATAATAATAAATGGCCAGTCCTGTGACCGAAAAATTTCCCATACAAAACAAAAGAGTGTCTCCTGTGTGTAATGAAATCTACATTGTACATTAACGCCTATCTATTTGTCGTGCTTTTGAACGCGTTCCACATGTAGTTGCTGTTATATTCATTTTTTTCCACCTGTTATTTCCCATAAATGTGGCTTGGGTCAAAGCAGAAATAACCCAGGGCGCAGATGGCGCTGCAGTCGCAACCAGACCTGTAATAATAATAATAATAATAATAATAAAACGGCAGACGACACGTTGACCCCACCACCACGGTTCAGAGTTTATTGATAATTACTAACAATTGCTGTAGTCAAGATAAATAACAATCACCATTTATTCAAACAAAAGCTAAAACGCAAAGTACCCATCCCAATATTTCACGCAGGATATTTGCTTAATATTTAATAACCGTCTCTAAATAGTTAGTCTACAACTGATTAAACCACTTACACACAACGATAAGGATAGCGACACGGCTGTCCAAAATTTGGGTCACAAGGGTCCCTGATGTTAACGCAGGTGGTTGTACTATTGACTGGTAACGAAAAAAATGCAACATTAGGATGACAGTAGAACTTACTGTTAGACACGGGTACATGTATTTCAAAATGAAATATCTAACCGAAAAAATAACATTTGATAGTGAAATACAGTTTTAAACAGACCGAATGCGATATAATGCATTCTCCAGATTTTCAAGATAGAGAGGGTTTATTTTGTAAATATACTTTTTTAAGACCGTACTAATATGTGTCTTCACGCAATGGAAGCCACGGAAAGGGAATTTTCACGGTGCAACATTGCACCTTATAAATAATTTATCAAACACTGTATCGTTGTACAGTGTACATATAGGATAGAATAACAAATTTAACATAGGCTTAATAATGTAATGAACAATCCTTACCGAGACTGAAATTGACACAAGCTGTACATGGACGTCCCACTTGCAATTGTCCTTGGACGGCGGTTAGTGAGAGAAAACTGGCCACGACAAATATCAACCCTATGACGCCCATTATAGAGCAGAGATGTTATTTTCACAGCTACCCCCCTGTAATTATATCTTTATCTATTTGTCGGTGCCCTAACTCTCTGAGGCAATGTGGGGCGCTGTCAAATGATAGCTAGAATAATAGCCCACGTCAAAATAGCTGCTATTTATACAGGTATCTGTACACCCTCTTGTCTTTGACACTCACATGAATATTGCTGAACATTTGGCATTCAGGTGACAGCATTTCAAATAGGAATTACTTCCTTTTAAGGGTTTCCGTACTTGGCACTGTCACCTTTGATTTGAAAACTTGTTTAATTTGTTACCACTGATGAATTCACGGTTGACACACACTGCACCTTCAACCTTTTGTAATGTTAATGCCGTTGACGTCGTTTACAAAAATAACCTATGAACTGTGCCTATGAAATTATATGAAGATAAAAATTTCTATAATTAGAAAAGCAAAAGAAAATTGCTGCTTGATATGGTATAATGCATTAAAAGATATAAAACAGTCGTTTTTTTTTTTTTTTTTTTTTTTTTTTTTTTTTTTTTTTTTTTTTTTTTTTTTTTAATTTGAATTTTTTTTTTTTTTTTTTTAT